ACTTATCCGCTCTTATTTACCCTTTACTTAACACCTTATTTGCCCCTGCAATTGTCTCTACCTGCCCTTACCTAGTTTCACATGTCCTCAATTACTCTATTACTCTTTCCTGCTCTCAAAAGCCCTGACTTACCCTACCTGCCTTTATTTACCTCTACCTGCCCTAACTCAGCCCCACCTCCTCGGGTTTACCTCTACCTGCCCTTACTGACCCCTACCTCCCTTTATTTATCTCTACCTGCCTTTACTCACCCCTACCTGCCTTTATTTACCTTTACCTCCCTTTATTTACCTCTACCTGCCCTCACCTGCCTTTACTCGCCCCGCCTGCCTTTATTTACCTTTACCTCCCTTTATTTACCTCTACTTGCCCTTACTCACCCCTACCTGCCTTTATTTACCTCTACCTGCCCTTACTCACCCATACCTGCCTTTATTTACCTCTACCTGCCCTCACCTGCCTTTACTCGCCCCGCCTGCCTTTATTTACCTCTACCTGCCCTTACTCACCCCATACCTGTTTTTATTTACCTCTGCCTGCCCTTACTCACCCCTACCTCCCTTTATTTACCTCTGCCTGTCCTCACTCACCCCTACCTGCCTTTATTTACCTCTACCTGCCCTTACTCACCCCTACCTGTCTTTATTTACCTCTACCTTCCCTCACCTGTCCATACCTGTCCATACCTGCCCTTACAAGCCTTTACTTGCCCCTACCTGCCATTATTTACCTCCTAGTGGCCCTCACCTGCCCTAACTTGCCTCTACCTGCCCGCATTTGCCCCTCTTTACCTGGTCTGCCCCTTCCCACTGTTACACTACTGACTATTCCAGTTACTTCACATGCTGATGATGTAAAACCCTCCAGAATTAGAATATTAATATTAACAACACAATAAAAGATTCCATTTATCGTTATTTCAGCTCGACTCTCCAGGAAAAGCTTTTAGGATCATCAGTGGAAAACTGTGTTTGTGGTTGTGGGGGGAATGGGCGAGTAAACGGATGCCCGTGTTTTCTTTATGTACCCACAATTCCACTGAGACTTGCAGAAACACTGGTTTCTGTGTGTTTAACTGAGGTCTCTCTCTCTGTCTCTCTCTCTCTCTCTCGGTAGATCAGTGCTCTGAAGAAAGCAGGAGATACATTCCCTCTGACCGCTGCCTCTGGGAGAACACTTGGACAGGTGTGTCACTGTGGGTTCATAAATTTCACAAGCTATATGTCATAAGGCTAGTAATAGCGCAAGTGTTCATTAAGGTTTATTATTCAGCAACTACATAGAAAACAGTGCAAAGTGGCTGTTCTTAAGTTCATAACTGGCTACCTTCACATTAAAAGCCTCAATCCTAATTTTGTGCTCAGTTCTGATCTCTCTGACGTGATGGTTCACATTCAGATGAGTAAAGTGACTCATATCTGTCATTCATGTGAACAAACATGCACCCTAAAACAATGCTGAATGATAGTGCATGCCCAATAAAAAAAAAAAACAACAAAAAAACAACATTCTGGTCACGCGACCATGAATCAGATATGTATCCAATCTAGGACCACCTCATTCTGAAAACATCAGATTGGTGTCACATTGCAGCAAAAAATCTGATTTGTGCCTCTTTAGCCTGGTAATGTGAACAGACCAATGTCATGCTTAATGTTTCCAAAACCAGAAACAAGTTGTGTTGTTTTGGACCTATTGGAGGGGGAAACAATGCCTAATAATAGGGATTTTAGGGCTGTGTTCACATTACCAGGCTGATTTGTCAGAGCTGTGTGGACACACAAATCTGGTCTTTTCAAATCAGATCTGAACCACTTTCATTCACATTCGTCCACTTTAGTAACAGATTTGAGTTCACATTACGAGCCTCATTGCTTAATTCTGATTTTTCACTCAAATCTGTTCTTTCTGGTTGACAGTTCACATTTGTGTAGGTAAACGACTCAAGTCTGTCATTAATGTGAAAGGACCTGTGTCCTGATGCAAATGTCACGACCCGCATGCAAAATGTCACGTGCAGCGAAAAAACACATTAATTGGACTACAAACAAAAGTGAAAACACCAGATCTGTGTCACATTGGCAAAAAAAATCAAGTTGCTCCCACTCCAGCCTGGTAATGTGAACAAACACATTACCTACACAAATGTGAACCATCAAGTTAGAGAGATCAGATCTGAACAAAAGATCGAAATTAAGCAAAGAAGCTTGTATAGGGGTTCAGATCTGATTTGAAATGATCAGTTTTGCATGTCCACACAGCTGATCTGGGTCACTTTAAGGCAAAAAATCTGATTTGTGCCACTTCTGCCTGGTAATGTGAAAGTAGCCATAGTGATGTCATGCTTAATGTTTCCAGTGCCAGAAGCCAGCAGTACCGTGTCAGTAGTATTGGTGCAATAAAGCCTAATAATAGGGATTTTAAGGTTTGGGATATACGTTTATGTGTTGGATGCCTTGCATTGTATGTGGATGGCATTTCTTTTGTGCCGTGCCGTTGAAAAGCTTATGTCATGAACTTAATTTTTGTGTATGTGTGTGTGCAGATCAGTCAGATCAAAAGGTCGTACAGGCAAATGTGACCGTTACAGTACTCTGAACTGTGTGATGTCACGGATGTATTTAGCAAGATATAAACAAAAGGCAGCTTTCTGTCTACACATATCAAAGCGATAGCTAGCTAGCACAACTGATTGACAACTATGATGCTGTTGTTGCTTAGCAACAGTGAAGAGCACAGCCAGAAGGAGCATTTGAAAAATGCAGTGTGATCCCCCACACTCTCTGAAAAAAAGATATGAAACTGTCACTGGGGCAGTACCCCTCTTGTCACTGGGGTGGAACCCCCAAGGGAACATTTCAGTACCTTTAGTCAGAGAATCCATTGCAATTATATTTTCTTATTTGTATTAACTCCACACACCTAACCCTAACCCTAACCATAACACTAACACATCTGGAAAAACTTATTTAAGGTTCACAATTAGATCTTAAAACCACTGTTGTACCTTTGAGGGAACATTTACGTTGTTTGTACCTTGATGAATGAAAAATTTACCTGCACAGAACCTTTATTTCTAACAGTGCAAGAAAAGAAGGCCTTGCAGTGCATCTCACATAAGTGACCCCCTATTCATCAGTTAATTTCTCACTTTTATTGTGTGCTGAATCAGAATTTATTCATGCTAGAAAACAACACTCCACAGTAACGTAAATCCATGCCACGGTGGATTTATTCCTGGTCGCCGTAGTTGTACCTTCAGTTGTCACTGCCTAAAGTCCCTAATAATATTACAATTGTGTTTATGTGTTCTCAGGCTCTCCGGAGTTCAGACGGCAGCACTAAACCCATCTATGTGTCTGTGGGTCATCGCATCAGTCTGGACACGGCGGTCCGCCTCACGCATTCCTGTTGCCGCCACCGCGTACCTGAACCCATACGCCAGGTACCCACACACCTATACACGCAGAGCAAAACTGTTTCAGAACCACAGGCTGAAGTTTCGCAAATTCATATTTGCATCTTTCCATTCCACCTTAAATGAAATTGTATTGGAAGTAATTGCTGCACCATTTAAGGTGGAACCGAGAATTCAATCTAGAGCTGTAGAAATACAGTGCTTGCACGGCAACAATATTTTCATAGAAGGAAAGAAAGAAAGTTAAGTAAAGAAGGAGAGGAGAAAAGCAGAGGCAAGAAGGAAAATACGTAGGAAGAAAGGAAGGAAGAGTGAAAAGAAAGGAGGAAGAAAAAAGAAATGGAAGAAGGAAGGAAGAAAAGAAATGGAGAAAAAGAAAGGAAGGAGGGAAAAATGAAGTTTGAATAGAGTCTTTGTGTTAAGAGGTTGAAGCTGTATTAGTTGCATTGGGAGAAGATAAAGAATATTAGTGACAACAGAATCCCTGTTATTCCTTTTTTCCCTGTAGTGCTGAGCTTGCAAGCATTGTGATAAAAAGCTGGCGAATAGGATGGTAATTTTAGCCTCATTTTAAGACTGAATGCAGCAGAAAACTCCAAAATAAGTAAAAACTTATTAATGCACCTGAATTGTTCTGCACTGTATTGGTACAAAAATTGCTTTCTGCCACTAGGGGGTGCTCTTCTGCAGTGCTAGTGACATTTCTTTAAGTAATTTTATTCTGTATCTCTCTCTCTCTCTCTCTCTCTCTCTCCCTTTATCTGTCTATCTATTTCTTTCTCTTACGTTGCACCTGTTTCTGCAGGGCAATCATGATTTCTCTGTACTCATAGTCTCTGAAACACACACAAATGTACACACACATACACACAACTCTGTCAACTGCCTGGAGCTCCCCTCCACCCAATAGCTGCCCCTCAGCATCACTGTGTGCACTCTCTTCACGTCACTTGTAGCAGCAGTTTGAGGGTAGGGGGGTGTCGGTGGGTGATAACTAGCACCTGCAGTGTTGCTGGTTCAACACTACAGACTGCACTGCTCCCCCTAATGGCAAGAGATGGAATTTCTTTATTGAGTTAAAATTAACAGGATTGACAAGAATGAATTGTGAAAAGAATTAAACATTTCATTTTTATATGTAAGCTGCTAAATTGCTGTGACAATGGGCAGAATACTTTAGTGTGATTGTTACCTAAAATACTGGTTGTTGAGTTATCTTATTGTTTGTAGAATGAATAGTATTAATATTAGTGGAGCCATAGTTAAGTCATTAATAACACATTATGATGACATTTTTTTAAACATTGTTTACCTGTTTTCTTAATTTGACCATAGTTCCAAATACAGCTTTTAAATGGAAAATTCCATTAAGGGATCTCTCGATAAAGCTCAAGTTATTTCCAGTTACTGCTGTGCCGTGAATTTGTTTATCACTGAAGTACATCGAGTGTGAAGCCTAGCTCAAAACAGCAGCAGCCATCTTGAAGGCTGAAATCATCTGTACTTTTGTAGGATGAAAGGAAAGGGTTGGACTCAATGAGAAAGAAAACAGGTGAATCTGGCCAAGCTGATGTTTTGAGTTATTTTCAGGAAATTGTGACAGGAAACAGAGAGAGCACAGGAGCATAGAGGAAGAAGAAAAAGAGAGAGAGGTGGTAGGGCACTTCATATTCTCACTGCAATCTAGAGCAGAGCAAAGAGTTTTTATAGAACCACGGTCTTGCGATAGAGGAGTTAAATAAGTCTGAGAGTCGAGATTTAATAAATTGTGAAATATTACAATCAATTAAAATTGATTAATATTCAATAAAGCAGAGGGGAAGCCTCAAGGCTTTAAGCAACAACATAATGATTTCAGAGAACTAAAAAATACACATCTGTCAATCATCATGCTTGTTGTATTTAATCTCTGCAAGCATTTTAGAGTTTAGTACTCTTACTGTTTTGGTGGCAAACAAAAGGGTTAAATTCTCAAAGCAGAAAATTATCCAATCAGGATTGTTTTCTTTGTGGTGCGTAGGTAGACACAGCCAAGTGAGCTCTCCCATTGATTAGGGCTTCAGGAGCTGAACAGAAGGCCGAACACATTAGATTAACTACCAACATAATTAGTAACTGAAAGAGGGACCAACCAATCACATTTAGATTTACAAAAAATGTCAAAAATGTCACTCTAGTTCTACTGGAAGTTCATGTTACATCACTGACTGTGAACATGAGCTGTAGTCTAAGGGTTTGGGTTAGTTGTTAGGAATGGAAAACAGAAGCATAAGTGTCACTGTAAAACTCAAATATGTGCTCAAATATATCGCTGTTGTTGGAAACAAAACCTTGTATCGCCAAAATGAGAACTTTATAGAAGAAGGAATAAACATATTCTACTTTTAATGTAAGTCATTGGAACCAGACCTATTTCCAAGCAATTTTAAGACATTTTTGTCGGTCCAGTCATCATGAAATTTACACACAAAATATAGCATAACGAGTACTTTCAAATTATGTAAAAAACTGAAAAACTGAGAGATGAGGTTTTGTTCCGACAGCAGCGATATGTTAGTTTTAAATAAAACACATGGAATGTATTTTACAAGCTTCAGATGTCCATGTTTAATGTAGAACAACCAAAAAAAACAGAGCCTATGGAGCACTAGCATAAATTAGCATTCTTTCGTTCACGTCTAGGGTTAGGGTGTCCCAATTTTTGTTGGGGTAGAGGGGTAGGGCGAAGTGTTAGGACTACATGGCCCTCCAAATGGAGGTTTTTCAGAAGCACACTCCAAACGGAGTGTTATGAGAATAAAAGAAAAACCCAGCAAGATGGCTGCACGAGTGACCAAACAAACCCACAAATGTGAGAATTTTCTCTGTTAAAAAATTACAATAACCATTGCATTATCTTAGTTTAATGTTGTTTCAGTGTAGTATGGTCGTTTTCTTCATAACAAGCATAAAAAAACACTAATAGCATGCTAGGTTCTCTGTAGCTAGCTAGCTAATTTGCTCGTTCCACCTTAAATAGTACAGCAGTGTTGACGCCTGAAGTGCCAGAATGTAAGTGCTGCACCATTTAAGGTGGAACGGGAAAATTCGGACAAGAACCTGGTGTATAGCTGACTTCAGCTTTGTATCACCAATGAATTAGCGGTGGGTGATAAAAAATAAATGTCTTGTACCCCCTCTTTGGTGCCCTAAATGTAACTAAAGTCCGGCAGCGAGGTTGCTGAACTTTTCCCATCTCTGCTACCACTGAAGACGGGCCCGGTCACCTACAGAGCACCACTAGTAGCCTGTTAATGAAGCAATGTTGTTGTTTTTTTTTTTCCATTTCGTAGGGCAAGACTTTTTCAACCACTACCCCTTTTAACTTGTAAGTTTCAAGGGGTTAGGGTGACATACGAAAACAAAGGGTAGGGGTAGAAAGAAGAAATGGGATTGGGCCTAAGTTTTGCTCTTTATGCCCCAAACTAAAGGCCTAGCTCTGGTGGTCATGGTTCGGCTAGATTGTGTGGTTATGTTATGCATTTGGACTGGGTGTGTTTGAAAGCTATCCATGGGGGAGGGGCCTAATGTTCAACAGGAAAACTTAGAAAGGAAGATGTTCACCTCATGTGACACCAATAATTTTCAGAGAATTCTATTTTTTGCCAGGAAATGCACTCTAAGTTCAACGTTATCTCTATGACTTGCTTTTATGGGATGTTAAGGACCCCCTAGCCACCCCTCCATTTGTACTCTGATTGTATTGGAGTGTACTGTACTGTTCATGAATATGCCATGAATACTTCTCCTACATGTAGTTACTGTAAAGTATTTTCTCTCGAGCATAAACTGTCTGATGAAGGTGGCTGTTCTTTCTCCTTTGGCTCTAATGCAGTTGGCCTAATGTAGCAAACTAATGAGCATGCAGGCAGAACACGAGGAAGGCTCTGAGAAGCTTGGAGTGGAGTGCATCTGTCAAAGTAAACAGGTGCACAACAATTAAAGCCTCCGCAAAGGCTTTCCACTTTCATATCGCCGAGCTGTGGACACGATTTTCTCATTGCAAACAGGTTGGAGAAGTATTGGCCAATTTGACAGCCACTGCAGTCGTTTTTCAGCCAAAAAACACACACAAACACACTGGTGTTCACCCACACAGCAGACGGAGAAAGATGCATTTGAGCATTCAGTCCACTCTCAGTTTCTGTGAGGAGAAGTTAAAATGATGTTTACAAAACTAAGTCGCATGCATTCCCTCTCTAACCCTAAATGAAATCAGCTAAGGCATGTTTAGTGTCTTGCACTGAAGCTACGAGCCTAATGTAGCTAACAACCCTGCTGGAAAAAACAGTGCAGACTAGCTTGCATTTTATTCTGGTCTATGTTGGTTTGTGCTGCTCTGGTTGACCAGCATACCAGCATCCAAAACACAACATACCACTGCTGTCGGAACCAAACCTTGTATCTCCGTTTTTGACATAATTTAAAAATGCCTGTTGCTGTTTACATTGTGTGCTAATTTCATGATGAATGGACCAAAAGAAATGGCCCAAAATTACTTGGACAAAACGTCTGGTTCCATTGACTTACATTAAAAGTAAAGTCTGTTTTTTCCTCTCCTGTAAAGTTACCATGTTTGGGGATACAAGATACAAGGATACAGCAGTGATATGCTAGTTTTACTGGTGACCAGCCATGCTAGTCTGTGCTGTTTGTTCTAGCAGGGAAGTAATGGAAGCGTAACAAAATGGACAAAAAACATATCATAGAGTGTCTGAAACCACATAATCAAGTCTACTAGAGATTAATGAACGTCTCCACACAGTTAGAGGTTTGCATGACGATTTAGGCATGCAGTTAGCACCATGCTAATTGGTGGGGTGTAAGCTTCTGTTATTTGTTAGCTACATTAGCCCCGTACCTCCTCTTCAAAACTACAGAAGCAAAATTCAGACACCAAACATGTCTCAACTAATCAACTATATTTGGTGTAAAGGGAGGTTAAACTGTGATTTTGGCCAAACTGCTCTTATTCCAAACTGCGTTTG